AGCACGTCCTGGCTCTAGCCCTGGCTCGGCCAGAGCTCGTGGGCCTGCCGCCTCGTCCTCACCGTTTGGCCACTTTGGGCTCATCTGCAGAATACTGCTTGGATAAATGATCTCTTCTGAGGCCACCCCACATTATTGGGACTCTTTTTCTGTTTGAGAATTCGCATCACGAATCCCTCCTTGTCAAGGTGGAAGCCAGAGGCTGACTTTCGGTGGCGGCCTGCAATGAGGCTGAGGCGCGGGCCGTGAGCTCTAGCTGTCGGATGCACCAGCACCAGATGTCAGAGCAAGGTGAGGAAGCCCAGATGTGTGGGGTCCGTTTTTTCTGGGAAGATGGTGGTGGAGAGTGGGCCACAGGGGGGAGCTCCAGTGTCTTGGGCCTGGCATCAGTAGGGGGAGCCGTGGGGTCTCTGCCTAGCAGAGACCTCTGTGGGAGCAACGTGGCACAGGGTGGCTTGGAGTTGTTCCTGGCTTCCTGGCCTCCAGGCCATGGACTTGGTGCAAATTTGACAGGGGCACCCCTTCTGTACACTTTACTGCCATCTGCTGGAAAATGACTATGATATACAAATCTAGTGTCTCTTACAACAAATATACAGATCTGTCTAGGGTCTGAATAGTGCCTCTTCAAAAGCGGCGGTGTTGTGCAGTACGCAACCTGCACAACTGATCTTGGCGACTAGGCAAGCCTGACTCTTGGGCCCTGGTGGAGATTCTGCAAAAGACTTATTTCCTTTAATAAATGCCTTTTCTACTTAATCTGCCTGGATATGGGTTCTGGTGTTTGACTAATTATCTCAACTGATACAGATAGGGATAAGGATATGTGCCTCCTAGGGTTAAAACCCCGTTGACCAATTGATGTAAGAGTCCTCTGAGAAAACAAAAAGCACTTCACGTTACTCAGAGGGTTTGCACTTAATGTATTAATTTTTAGAGGAACACGGGAAAGGGTCTGATTCACTCTATCTTCCTTCCTTCTTCCAGAAACCTCTTTGTTTATTATTTTTCATTTATTGTCAGGGTCAAAGTTCATGGTTAAACAGAGGAATCACAAGGATAAAGATGAGAGTGCATTATAAATATTCCAGCAGGGAGGCTTGTGGGGAAAGCGGCCTTGCTGGGTCTTGTCCACGTGCTGCCGTGTCTCCTATTGTTACAAGGAGGGATGACATCAGCCTGTGTATCATTTGTCTGATGAGTCTGTGTGTGTACGTGTGTGCGTGTGTACGCACGCGCGGGTGCATGTCTGGCTGCAGATCAAGTGATCAGTTTCCAGGCTTTCCAGGATTGTCCAGATTTGAGATGTTTTGTCCTTATTTGTCAGTCCATTTCGGGGCCAGAGTTTTTGGTTTAGACCACGTAGGCTCTGTTCCTCAAGGTCATAAAGCCCCTGCCCAGGATGTGGTAAGGAGGGAAAAATGAGCAAAGCCTCCCCAGGGAATCTTCTCCCCATCAATTGCTGGAAATGCATGTTTGACTCAGTTCTCAGTGCTTCAAAGCTGAAAGGAGGGAAAGAGGCTATTTGCTGGCTTCCAGCATCCCCCTCTACTCCTGCACCCCTCAGCAGGGTAGGGGAGAGGTGGGGGGGTGGGAGGTCCAGACAGACTGGTAACAGCCCCCTGGCGTGATTTCCAGGCTGTCCGTTCCAATCAGCCACCCGTGTTGGCTGCCTGAAGCCTGGTTTGGCTTTGCTCTGGCCCTAACCCTAACCCTTTCCACCCTGAACGAGGAGCAGGGGTCTGCAGAGGCCGGGAGAGGGAGCCTGTGAGTCATGTTCACCCTTGGCGGCTCCCATCAGGGTGTAAACAGAGGGGAGGCAAGAGAAGACAGAGTGGCCACATCCTGAAGGGCAACTGGGGTAGGAAGGGGCACCAGGAGAAGGGGGGAGGGCGACACAGGGTTTGGGGTGTTGGGGAGGAGGCCACTGGATGTAAACATCTTCGATTCCAGAATTTGTCCCAGGTCCCTGGAGGGGTCTCTGACCCTCTGCATACAGGTGGCATTTTCCCTCCTATAGGACCTCCTGACTTTTCTAATGAGGGAGCCTGTGGCCATGAGGCCCTGTTCTTTCTCTTTCCCTTATGAAGCCCTAACTTCATGTGGCTTTCAGAAGGGAAAGTGCACACAGGGGGAACACACAGCTGTGCCTGTTTCTGGAAATGCCCGCCTGTCCACTCCGCAGTAAGCTCGGGAGGCCCTCAGGGAGGAAGAGGTGACAAGAGATTCCTCCTTCCCAGGACAAGAGGAATGGGGTCTGGGAAGAGGTCTGCCAGGACGTGGCCTGGGCCTCTGCAGCCCCTCAAGTGGAGACCTTTGTTCTGTAAGGGCAGGTCCTGGGGGCAGAGAAAGGCCTAAGGTGAGAGATAGTCTCAATTCGTGTTGGTTCGATACTCTTCTGTCACATAATCAGGGTCTCAAAATAAGTCAGGGCTTCTTTGACACAGAGTCCCGTTTCTCTGGCCCAAAGTTGCTGTAGGTCACAGGACAAGGGCTGGGGGTGGGGGGAGGGCAGGCGGCCCTGGGCCACCAAGCTGGGTTTTGTGAACTTGTCCCAGCTCATCTTTTTCACTTGTCACCCCCTCTCCCTGGCATAGTCCTCCTTCCACAGTCACACGAGGATATATATTCACCCTTCCACAAATCAGATGGAGAGGACCCAAGGGACAGACCTCCTTCTGTATAGGACTCTGGTCTCTGGCATTCCTGAAAGGCTGTGTTGAACCCTTCTACTACCCGAGAGCTCACTGCCTCACAAGGGACCTCACTCCTCTTTGGGACAACTGTAGATGTTAGAAGCTACCTTCCTTTGCTCAGACATCCAGCTACCTCCTGGAATCTCTCTCCTATTGGTTTGAGTTGGCCAGACTTTTGGTAAAATCCTCCCTCTACCTGACGGAGCTTTAGAAGTTCCAAGGTCCGTTCTCATGTATCCCTTAAGACTTCCTCTCCAGATTAAGATGCACTTGGCTCTCTGTCCTCAATGGCCTCATTCCCCCACATTTCCCTCCCCCCTGCTCCCCCGCCCCGTGCTGGAGGTTCCTTTGCTGTCAGCACCCCAACTCCCTTAGCACCTGGGGGCCGGAGGGAGCGGGCCACACCTGGCAGGGCTCCACGGAATATCCACCTGGCCAGGACTAGCGGAGATTTTACTCACATGGGTTTAGGAGCCCGCAGGGGTCAAGGCGTATTGGACCCATTCCCTACCTCTCCTCCCTGTTTACCTACAGCCTTCAGTGGACATAGACTCCCAGACTGAGGACCCAGTGAGCCCAGGATACCTGAGCTGAGTGAAATCTTGATGAGTACCTGGCCTCATATTTCTTGCACTGGGCTGTGCTGACCCCCAAAGCCCTCAGCCATGAGCTTGGGCCTCTCAAAGCTACAGGGTAGCTGGGGAACGTTCTGACTTTACTAGAAGATTCTGGGGGTGGGGGAGGGAAGACAAGTAATGTAACTGGTAAGTAGTTCAAAATGATATTTTTATATTAAGACAAATGCATATATATTACGTGATAGAATGTAGATGCACGAATTTCGAAGCCACAACCCGCAACTGAAGAATTTTACACTATGAGAAGGGAGCTTCAGGCAATTTTTTTAGAGTTCAGTCCCCATTCCTCAAGTGACTGACCCCCGCTGCTGAAAGGCGTTTGGGTGGAAAACTTGGAGATGCTCTGGTGTACTTACACCCCTTTGGTATTAGAGGTGAGCAACGTGAGGACCAGAGTAGGGAAGGGATTAGCCTGAGGACACACTGTGCAGAGGAGTCTGGAAACCCACATTTGTTCTTTCCTCTGTACGGAGAAATGCTGCATTTGGTTTACAAGGATGCTGACCATGGGACACCTGGGTGGCTCAGTCCGCTAAGCGTCTGCCTTCGGCTCAGGTCATGATCCCAGGGTCCTGGGATCGAGCCCGGCATCGGGCTCCCTGCTCTGCGGGAAGCCTGCTTCTCCCTCTGCCTGCCGCTCCCCCTGCTTGTGCTCTCTCTCTCTCACTGACAAATAAATAAATAAAATCTTTTTTTTTTTTTTTAAGATTTTGTTTATTTATTTGACACAGAGAGAGAGACACAGCGAGAGAGGGAACACAAGCAGGGGGAGTGGGAGAGGGAGAAGCAGGCTTCCCGCCGAGCAGGGAGCCCGATGCGGGGCTGGATCCCAGGACCCTGGGATCATGACCTGAGCCGAAGGCAGACGCTTAACGACTGAGCCACCCAGGCGCCCCAATAAATAAAATCTTAAAAAAAAAAAAGAAAAAAAGAATGCTGACCATGGCAAGAAAGGGGATTGCAAGCAGGAAAGGGGCTCTGGGCTCTTTACTCAGAAAGTCCGCGCTCTGGGTTCTGAGCAAAGTTGACCCCGTTCAACGGCCATGCTTACCTCTTTGAGGATCTCGTGTTCCCTGGGAAAGAGGCTGTGGTGAGAAGGGAAGAGAAGTCGGGCTCCATTGCCAGGAAACGAGAGAAGCCAAGTGCACAGGGAGGCCGCCGTGGACGCCACGGTGGGGAACTCAGCGGCCTGGCGGTGCTAAAGGGGTCAGCAAGCCCGCGACTTCCGGGGGCTCACACGCCACAGGCTGCGCCTGCGCATGCGCACGGGCGCGCAGAGGCGCGCGCGCGCGCGCATGCGCACACGCACAAGTTTGCACTCAGGCTCGCGGATGTCCCCAAGCTTGTGATCGCACGGTGCCTCACGCATCTGAGAGGCAGGACACGCTGAGGAGTTCAGCTCTGGCGTCCCCACCCCGGGAACCACCCCTGACACCTGAAAGGAGCACTGGAACGAGGAAGTCAGCCTGAACCAGGAAACTGAATAAGCATAGCTCCTCGCCACACTGGCCTTCAAGTGTAGGGGTCAAAGGTTTGTGTTTTTTGCAAGGATGTCTTGGACATTATCGTAAGCCCGTGACACCGGCTCGTCAAATCCTTTTTGCGGTGAACACCTAGCCATTGACTTGTTGCTGGTCACCTCTCACAGAAGTGCAACTCTCAATAATTTAATCAAGTCAATTCATACTGTTTAATAAATAGGCCAGAAAATTAGCTGAGCGTTTTTCTCGGCGGGGTGCGGCGTGCGACCAAAGTTATGGAAGATTGTCCTTTGAATCACTAAGGCAAACTCTGTTGTGTCATTTTACATAAAGAATTCACATTAAAAAAAAAGTTATAAATAGGAAAAAATTCCAAAGTTTTCCCACAGACAGGGAAATTGAGACACCAAAGGAAAAAAAGAAAAGGAAAAAAAAGAAAAACAAAGAAAAGAAACAAAACACAAGCACCCCTGCCCCCCACAACCCATTTGCGTCAGGTTCTTCTCCAACATACAGTACTCAAGATCTTTGGATATTTTACAATGTATGACTCCAAACTGCAGCCGAGAGAAAACAAAAAGAAGTAACGAGTCGTCTGAAAAACTGAGTTTATAAGAAGTCATTACCTTTACAAAATAAAAACAAAAGCCCCAACACCACTGGATTCCAATTTGTTCATTTTTCCTTGTTTTCTTCTAAAGTTTGGGTCAGCCCCAATCCCTTGGCTGATGGGGGGGAAGCATGGGGATGTCGGTGGATGGGTCCCAGAAGCGAGTGTCAGAAACGGAGCTGGGAATCTAAGAGGCGGCTGCCCAGGAAGATGGCATCTGAAGACAAAAGGGTGTCAGAAGCAGTTCCCTCTGATTGGAATGGCATTTGGGGGAGTGAGGAGTCAGGGTTCTCTTCTGGGAAGCTGCGAGGGGGACAGAGTCTGTGGTCTTCTCTGGCCTTTTTGTTTTTTGTGTTTGCTCAGGCAGAAGCCAAGGCGATAAGAAGAGCCGAAGTCTCGTGTCCACAGCTCCTGGATTGGGGACACAGGCCCTGGGTAATCCATGCAGATGAACCCTCCCACTGTCGGGGCTGCTGAGAAACAAAGGCCAACTCAGCAAGAGAAGGGGGACAGGGGCAGGAAAGGGGAGAGAAGAACAGGAAGGCGCTGGGCCAGCAAAGCGGTCTTCCTTCTCAGAACTTGCTACAAACTCAGGAACCAGGGAGAGTGTGCGTGCCGCCCTAACTCCCAGAGCCCTTCAAACCCATAATGGAGCCAAGATTCTGTTTCCCACCACCAAGGGAAGTCAAACACCCCAGCTTCCTCCCCAAGGGATGAGGGGGGAGGTTGAGGGTGCTCAAATACAGTAAAGGGGGCAATCCCCAGAGATACCAAAGCCCCTAGAAACCCACAACAAACATCAACCCTGGGTAACCAGGTGTTTTGTCTGTTTCCAGGAATCAGGGTAGAGGGGGGCAGTCATCAGGTGTTAAGAGGTGGTTCCCATCCCTTCTGTATTGGCCCCAGGGGTCCCAAGAGACTTTGTACAGCCCTGGAGGAGGTGTGTGGAGGTGGGGTAAATGCTTAAAGAGTCATCCCCAGGGCCCTGACACAGTGGCCTGCTTGCCTAGAGAGGTGGGGAGTACCTGGAGTTCCCCAAAGCTGCCTGTGGACAAGCCACACCTCAGCTCTTCTCTGTCACCCCTGTCTAGTTTGGCCACATTTCTCACCTGTGCTAACATAGAGGGGGACGTGATTAAACCAAATCCGGTAAGACATGTTTTCAATAGGACTTTAGGAGTGCAAAGCTCCCACCTTCTCAAGAATTCTTTGTGGAGGGACAGGTGTGTAGATGTGTGTATGTGTGTGGGTGGGTTTGGGAGGGGAAACTAAATTAGCAGCCCCCCTTTGTAGCAGGGTAGAGAGGACTGACCTGTCCGAGTTTACAGCACAGGGAGGGAAAAATGGGCCCGGATTCCAGGAGCCCTCCCTCCCAATAGGGCATTTCCCAGAAGGATCCCAGGATGGCTGGAGACTAGAAAAATGACCCAGCAGAGACGGGTCAGTAGAGACTCTGCCATAGGGCTGCAGCTAGGTGAGGATGCCTGCCCCAAGCCCTATGGGTAGGCCTCAGCCCTGCTCCATCCGGTGTGCCTCTGGCCAAGCTCCCTTCCTCCATCTAGCCCCACACAGCTCCAAAGTGCTCCTGGGCACCCAGGGTGTGGCCTCCTCTGTGGCACAGGCCCCTGTGAGTTTCTGTGTGACAGCCAGAGCGACAGACAGGTGGAGGCCAGGCCCCGGGCTCCAGGCCCTTTGGGAGGAGATGTCCATCTCAGACACCTGCAAAAGGGAGGCAGGAGGCCATAGGAGGCCTGGGAAATACCACCGTTGCTGATAATATTTTTTCATGTTTCTTTTGTGTTTCAAAGAACAAGTTCAGACCCACTGGGTGGGGCAGGGGAGGCCTGGTGGGAGAGGGGACAGGGCCGCCTGACTGGGGTTGACGAGGACCAGCCTAGTTGTTGGCTTCAGACATGGAGGCCACGTGGTTGAGGCCGGCGAGCCCCGGGAGGCCCGCCAGGCCGGCGGCCCACGGGTCGGGCAGCGGGAAGTAGGGCCGCGCGGCCGCCACGTTCTCGGCCAGCGCGAAGGCCAACAGGCCCCCCGCGTTCCTCTCGGCCTCCAGCTGCGCGCGCCCAAACAGCTTCATCTGCGTCTCCTCGAACTGCCGCTCGAGCTCCTGCAGGCTCAGCGCGCCCTTGGGCGCCGCCAGGAAGTGCTTGGCGGGGCTGGGGCCCGGGAGGCACACGGCCGCCCCGCCCAGGTGGCCGCCCACCTCGCCCAGCGCGGGCGGCATCACGAAGGCCGCCTTCTCGGGCGCCGGGCCGCCGGGCCCGAAGAGCAGGCTGGCGGCCCTCCAGGCGGCGGGCTTGCGGCCGCGCCGGGGCCGGGCCATGCGGCAGCTCTGGCGCTTGATGTGGCGGTGCAGGTGGTCGGAGCGCGTGAAACTCTTGTAGCAGAACTCGCACTGGTAGGGCCGCACGCCCGTGTGGATGCGCATGTGGTTCTTGAGGTCGTAGTTGTGCACGAACTTGGCGTTGCAGTGGATGCACAGGTAGGGCCGCTCCCCCGTGTGCTTCCGCATGTGGATCTTCAGTTTGTCCTGCCTGCAATGCAGAGCCTGGAGTCAGTCCCCTTACTGAACGCCAGCAGCCACCCCTAAGCCTCTTCCCCCTTACTCCGGAACCTGCTAGAGCTGGCTGCGGCTGTGGTGTCCAAGTCCAGAAAGGGGACCCACGCTGGGATTTCCTTGCACCCCCTGCCTCGCTCCAAACAGGTGGGGCTACTCACGTGGATTAGAGGGCTGGAGAAGGAGCAGTGTCTGGAAAGGCTTCCTTCACTCCTGAAACTCGGTTTACTCATTCGCTCAGAATCATGAAGCACCTCTCTATCAGAGGCTTGTCTCAGACTGGAAAATGGGCTCCCTGGGGACACTTCTCCCCACAAGTCAGCAGTCTGTCCTTTGCCCCTGCATGGTGTGACAACCTCTGATACTGGGTCGCACCTTAATTTCGTGCCCACTGTCTCCAAGCAACAGTTCTCCCTCCTATTGGTCCTGCGCTTTTGCCCAGAGGCCCAGGTGCCATCCTGGCCCTTGGGCTGTTGAGCTCTCTGTCCTCAGCACTAATCTGGGAGGCTACGGAAGCCGGGCACACCTTGTTCAAGTCTCCTGCACTGTGGTTTCTTATCCCAAGCTGTGGGCTCTCCTCTTTGTCTGCAGAGAATCCCAGGGTTTACAAAAGAGCCAGGTGCGACAAGAATGTAGCCTAATCTAGGGCAAAGCTTTTCAGGATTTAAGTGCTATTATTCAGAGGGAAGGTATGGTGTAAAGGTGGGGCTCCCATTGGGGTTCGGGAGCCCCTGCTCCAGCTGCAGACCCACCACTAACATGCTGAATGACGGTGGGCAAGTTACTTAACATCTCTGCACTGAGCTGAATTTAGCATTAGACATTAGTTCCTATTACCCAGGGCTGATGGAGAATCTGGGTTTGTGTCAAATAGATTCAGTACACCTCCTGGTGATCTTGAAAAGAAAACTGACATCACAGGGTTGTCTTTCTAAAGACTGAGTGCTGCACAAGCCGGCTAACGGAGCCTTCCAGCCTGGCTGAAGTGCAGTCAGGTGGGCTGTAAGAACTCGTCTCACGGTCCTTCTGTAGCCTTCCCCAGCCAGGCCTGGCAGGCCAACAAGCTCTGTGTCCTCCTACATCCTCCCCGCAGGTGTGGCTCGGGTGGAGCATCTGCCTGTAATTTTTGGCTCGGGTTTGAGGTCGGAGCAGATGAGGAGCCCAGGCATCCGCCCTAAAACGGCCAGATTTAAACCATGCTCAATATAACCCCAGGACCGCAGGAGCAGGTCCCGGTCTCCTGCTGTCTCCCGGCCGCTAGAGGTCTCACTGGCTCTCATTTTTGGACTGGTTCCCCAGGGGTGGGGCAGGAGAGAAAAGGACATTCTCCTGTACACTGGCAGGGACCAGGGGAGGAGGACCAGGGAGGACAGAGCCACCCCTTCCACCTGTGCTCCCAGCAGGAAGGCACAAGGGCACCTGGGAGATAGAGATGGGGGTGGGAAGCGGGACAGGCAGGGAGAAGGAGGTGAATGCTGCTGTCTGAAGCTGGCAGATGTCTCCACACACCAGACCCTCCTCTCGTCCCCACTCCCTGTCCCTTCCCCTCCCACAACCCACCTGCTGCGCCCAGGCTGCGTAGCACCCTGCTGTGACATCCCACGTTCCCTTCCCCAGCCAGCATGCTGCCCTTATGGTATCTATAACCCACATTTCATCCGGCCGACTGGGGGTTTGAACAGGAAGCCGTCTTAGCGAGCATCTGGGCTAGTGGGTCTCAAACTTGACCCTGCATAAGAAGGGCCCTCAGGGCTTGATGAAGCAGCACTCTGGGCCCCACTCCCAGAGATTCTGATTTGGGAGGTTGCGGGGGGGGGGGGGGGCAGAGAATTTGCATTCTTAACAAGTTGCAACTGCTGCTGCTGCTAGTCCAAGCACCACCTGAAGAACCACCTTTGCTGGAGGGAAAACTGGGGTCCCGGGAGGGAAACTCACCAAGGTCACCCAGAGGAGTAATGGCAGAGCTGAGCCTAGAATTCAGGCCTCGTTCTTCACCATTTTAGGAGTGGGGTGCATGGTACCATTTATACCTCAAGAGCTAAAGGCCAATTTAGTCGTGAGGGATAAGTCTTGGGATTCCACCCATTCACCAAGGCTCTCAGGGAAGTGCGGGAGCTAGCTGGTCATTGGCTGTAGGACTTGTGTCCTCCCCAGGGCCTGGTGGAGGGTTCGGTGCAGAGTCCGCACTGGGCCGTTAAGTATATTACCTCATTTAATCCTTCCATGACCTGGTAAGGTGGATATTTTTCAAAGTCACTGTTGTACAAAATTAATAGTATTGATGTTGAGGGTCACCCTCAAATAATGGACAATGCAAATGGTAAATCTTCAGATATTCAGGGCCTACTATAAATATCTATCACTTCTCCCAAGCTTTTCATTAGAGCATCCAAAATAAGGCACATTTTAACAGCACTTAACTGAAGTGTGTAAGAAGTGCTGAGAAGGTGACTATCACTTCTTTTTATTGAGCACCTGCTATGGGCAGATGAATACACCATTTCAATGACCCTGGAAGGTTGTTATGCAGAGGCAAGTTGTGATGTAGGGATGGGGCCGCCATTAGGGGTCTGGGAGTCCCTGCTGCAGCTGTGGACCCACCACTAACTTGCTGTGTGACCTTAAGCAAGGTACTAAACCTCTCTGTGCAGAAATGAATCAAGGGCCACACATCAGTTCCTATTATCTAGGACTGATGAGAGAATCTGGGTTCGTATGAACTAGATTCAATGTACCTAGAATAATTTCCTCACTTAGAGGATGAGCTGAGGCTCAGTGAAGTCAAGCAGCTTTCCCAAACGTATCCAGCCATGAGGGGCAAGGAGGCCTGGGGAGCCTGCTGGGGTATGATTTCTTTGCAAGCTATTCTGAGGTTGAGAAAGGTAGATTTTCAAACAGGGGACTCCCAGCCCGCGGCCTATCAGGGCAGGAAGTGCAGACCAGAACAATCAGAGCATTTGTAGCCAGCTTTCTGCCTCTGGGGCCAGAAGACTGGGGCATGTGTGGGAGGAGCTCAGCCCTGGGCAGGAGCCCGCTGTCCCAAATGGTGACTTTTGTTTTGTGGGAGCAGTGGGGAGGCTTAGTAGAGCTGCAAAGCCCATGATAAAATTTAGAGATCATCTAGTCTACCAGGATCACATTAATATGTTCTGATTCACAGTCTGAGTCAGTGGGCTGGGTCACCTGCATTATTTGCTGGGACTTTGAAAATACTGATTTCATTCAACCCCTTAACTCTCAAGATAAGGAAGGCAAAGACAGAGAGGGAATGGCTTTCTAAGGTCACACCTCCTCCTCATTCCTGTGACGACCTGTGCATGTGGATATAATGTGCAGGTGCATTGGGAGAGCCAGGCCCAAGGCCAGGCACGCTGCAAGAACTGGACTAGGCCCTTAAGTGCCCTGGGCCTCAGTTTCCTGACCTCTAAAACGGGGGGCTGGGCCGCACCATTTTGACCTCTGGTGTTCTGTGAGTGTTTGCATCTGGGGAATGGGCTTATACTGAATCTCCTTCTAGCTAGTTGGCTTCATATATTATGGCTCTTCTACACCCGCTTCCTCACGAATCTGATTTGTTTGTGTAGGGGCATAAGTTTAGTTGGAAAGTGTTCTAGCTTGAATTTCAGGAGCTGAGCTCTTGGTCACTTCCATTTGGGACTGGAGGTCTGGTGGTCCCACTAAAAATCTCCTGAGGCTGCCCCTGTCTGATGGCCAATGTGCTAACTTACTCCTTGGCATGGCTTGCAAGGCCCTTACAAGCTAACCCTTCCAGTTACTAAATGAGTAAGTTCGGGGGAACCCCGGTGACTATAGTTAACAATACTGCAATAATTGTATACTCGAAAGCTGCTAGGAGAGTAGATCTGAAGTGTTCTTGCCACACACACACAAAATGTAACCATCTGAGGTGATGGATATGTCAATGTGCGCACCACCACGTTACTGTGGTATCGTAACATTGTAGACCTTAACCTTCTATGTTGTAAGTCAGTTATATCTCAATAGAGCTGGGAAAAAAAGATCACCGGTCTACTTGCTCGCCCCCCTCCCCGGAGTACTGCCCCCACACACCACACGGATATGCTGTTCCCCTAGTGGGCCATGCTCTGGTCACCTCTGTGTCTTTGAACACCCGGTGGCGTGAGCTGGACTTCCAGCCATCCCTCCCTCCAGTGCAGAGCCTGCCATATTATGAAATGGATGCTTGGTAAACCCTGCTCCTTCCATTTCTGTGCAGATCTTGTGTTTGGACACCGGTGTGCCATCTCTGGGGTCCCACCAGAGGTCCAAACCCAGATGTCAGCGTGCGTGCTCCTTCCTCCCCTGCCGTGAACCCTCTTTCGGGGCCCCCTCCTCCCTGCACCGCTTTCTCAGTTTACTTTGGCAAACTGCACTGCCTGAAATGTCTCCCACTCCCAACTCACCACCCCCACCCTTCAAGGTCACATTCAAGGGCAAGCCTCTACAAACCTCTCCCTGTCCACCCAGGTCTTGTCCTTGGCCCTCACCTTCTGGAGCCCCTGGGACCTGAATACTGCCCCTCAGGCTAGGTCACTGGAGGGGCAAGGAGGGAGCAACAGAAAAGAATGTGTCAGCCTCAGCTTCTCCTGCCCCGTGGTGTCGGCACTGTCCCCGCCCCCCTGGCAGGACGTGAGCTCTGGGAGCCAAGCCTTTCCGTCTGCACTGTCTGTGGCCCCTGCTCAACCACATGGGCACTCTCAGCGGATGGAAACACTGCTCAGAGGCCGCCTTTGCGGCTCTGTTTTCCGTGCATGTCATTTCCAGGGCAGGGGCCATCACACATGCTGTTCCCCTTAGCTGCCCCGCATCCCTGCAGAGCCACCGCCTTGTCCCCAGCCCCTGCAGCCCTGTCTCGTCAGAAGCCTGGGCAGCACGATGTTGCAGGGGAGCCCACCCACGGGCAGGGAGCACTGGCCCCAGCTGCTGCAGATAAGGAACCAAGGCTCTCAGTATGAATCATTAGCAGGGGTCGGGTGCTGGCTGTGCACCAGGCAGTTACGCCCTATCTCACCGAAGCCCATGGAGTTGGTGTTGCCATCCTCGTCATGAGGAAATGGGGATAGAGAGGCTGCAGTACTGTGTCCGTAGCTTCCCTGATATTGGGCAATGTATGGATGGAGTTATGGGCTTGGGAGCAACCATAGGAAACACCTGCTCCAAGCCCCACACATTACACATGGGAACCTGAGGCTCGGGGCGGGGGGGCGGGGCGGGGGGAGGCCAAGGTCACATCTCCCGTTAGAGGCAGAACCAGGCCCTGAACCTGGGGTTCCTGATTACCACTCCAGTGCTCTTTCCAAGGCGCCAGAGCCCGCTGAGAAACGGAGCCCCCATCCCCCCCACCCCCATTCAGCAGCACTTAGCGGGTCCCGGGCACCCTCGCTCAGTCCGCGGCACCGAAGCTACTCGACCTGCTTTGATGAGAACCTGTCGGACGCTTTTGTATTCTGCGTGGTTGGTACACCACACGGAGCGTGCCGTGGGGCTCATGGTGGCTTTGCCGGCTGACCCATGACCTGCTGGTGCAGGATCAGTTCTCAGAAGCCCCGGGCTCCAACTCCAGTGTGCTCTGGCTCGCCCTGACCCCCTTGTCTGCCAGCCCCTTCCTTGACCCTGCCCTGGGGACCAGCCCAGACCACGTGCACCCAAGCCTTGATCTGCATTCCCCCTTCCAGCCCAGAGAGCTCGTTGTCATGGGAAAGCTGTGCCAGTCCTTCTGAGCTCGTTCTGCCGAGTGAAGGAAAGGGCCGCGGGGTCTCGCCTGGCGTCCCCAGCCTCCACGAGGGCTCCCAGTCCCGATATGCTTCCCCAGCACCATCCGCCCACACTTCTTGGTAACCTGACTGTCTGAGACAAACCCTCTTCCTGGTGCCACTGCTAATGTCATTGCATTATCTTAATAAGGTCCCCAGGGCTGCCAGGAGTGGGAGGGCTAAAAGGAAAATACTGGAAAAAGGCAGCACCCAGGCTCCTGGCCTGGTCTGGAGAGCAGACCACTGCGGGCGTGTGGAGGAACCAGCATGGGGCTCATGCCGGCGGCAGGTGTCGGAAGCGAAGCCCTGCGGCCTTTATGGAACGGTGGCAGGAGGCCCGGTGGAGCCTGGTGAGGTCACAGCTGGCCAGAGAGTGATGCTCAGGGTGAGAGGCACAGGCAGAAGGACTCCAAGTGATTGTAGGACAGCGTGGGACAAAAGGAACATAGTCTGGTTGAGGCCTCTGAGGCCCTGCCTGGGGCTCCAGGGGAGTCTCATATCTGGAACAATCAGTGGAAAGACAACGGTCCCCAGGGCTGGTTGAAATGGAGCGCCGTCTCCGAGGTGAGGGTCTGACGCCAAGGAAGAGACAACACCATGGTGGGGGAGGCCTTCCCCTCTCTTCTTGGAGAACCATAGAATGAGAGCTTTAGGGGCAGAATGGGCTGTGTGGGAGGGATGCCCGATCCTTCCACCACTGCTGCTGCTGAAGCCGTCAGGAATGATGTTCCCATGAGGCGTGGACATTCTGGGAGTTGGCATCTGAGGAGCCTGGGCCAAAGGGCCACTTTGCAGGAGGAGGGTGGGCCGCTCCACCATCCCTTGGGGTGATGGGAGGTGGGGTCAGCATCAAGGGGAAGGGAAAGGAGGCCTGACCAGAGAGCGGAGCTCAGCCGTGTTTAAGGAAAGAGAGGGAAAATAGTGTCGAAGAGGAGGAGTCGAGGGCGGCCGGTCCAGGCTCCCTCAGACCCTGGCGGGCCAGGTGCCCAGGAGCAGCTTGGCCTTGCAAGGGAGGCTGGGAATTCTGGGCCAAAGAGGCAGCAACGGCTTCAAGGGGCTGCTGAAGTGCCTCCATCTGGGGAGGGAGGGAAGGTGTTGTGGGAGGTGGTGCAGGAAGTCAGCCACCAAGAAGGTCCCCGTGGAGGGGCTGCTAGAGGACTTGACTACAGGGAGAAGCTGCAGGCCAGGGGACAGAGAAGAAGCCTTGCAGGGCAGCTCCGGGAGGGGGCAGGAGGGAAGCATGGAGCCGGCTCTAGCGAAGAATGGGACAGGGAGGGCGGTCAGGCACAGCCCATGGTACGAAATCAAGTCCCCAGGGTCCCTTGTGTGAGGAGACCAGGAAAATGTCCAAGCTCCCCCCACTCTGGGGTGCCTCTGTTCTGGGAAGGGGGGCCCCAAGAGCAACTCCGATCTTTCTCAGCAGGGTCCAAGTCCAGTGGGAGCTGGGTGAGGGGAGGTGCTGACGGAGGCGGGAACGGGGCTGCTTCAGGGGGCCCAGAGAAGAGCAGAAGTGGACCCGAGGGAGGGCAGGGCAGACGCACAGCCGGAACCGCCCCACGGCTGATCTGGCTGGGAGGGCTGGTGAGGCTGCAGGCACAGTGGCCCCCTAAGTGATCATCAGGAATGTGCTGGGAGGGAGGGTTCTGGAATGCAGCCCTCCTATACAACCCAGCCTCCTGACCCGAACCAGGAGGCCTCCTCAGAGAATGTTCTCGTGTCAGGAGGGCAAGAAGTCTGTCTGCAGTGACTGACCAAGTTTAACACTTTCCCTAGGGAAGGCAGGGCCACAGACTGGCGTGGCCTGCGCAGAAGGCTGTGTGTGTGGGAAAGGCCCAGAGGGGAGGGCCAGAGAGGGAAGGGACTTGGGGTGCTGGGCAGGCTTGCTGTGTGGCATGCTGAGATGTGCATCCCCCGAAGCCACAGAGCCGAAGCGCCCCTGAAGGGGAGAGGTGTCCCGGAGTCAGCCCTGTGTGAAGGGAACAGGCATGGCAAATTGGGGATGTGGACCCCGGATGGCAGGAAGGGGGTGTTTTGGCTGACTTGGGGCCTGGCTTTGTTGGATCTGGCCTGTGAAGGGTGTCCTTGTCTTTGAAGTCATTCCCAGGGGACTGGGCTGGGAGTCACAGGCCGGAGATGGGTGAACGGTACTCGAATGTGGATTGTGCCCTAGTTTATCTCCCCAATACCATCTCCGTGCTTTTGTCACACGTCATCCAGGTGTTCTAGCCTGGCCTGTGGAGCTAAGGTGAATTCAGGAGAAGGCGGTGGTGGTGGTGGCGGCGGGGTAAGGGGGGGTGATTAGAGTGGCAGGGCCATTCGTGAGGGATATCCCAGGGGAGGTGAGTCCCAGGAACTTTGGGTCCAGCTGCTGTGTGGCGATAACAGGAGCAGAGTGCCCTGAGGTCAGCACTGTGGGGGAGCAGGGGGTGCACCTGGGGTACGTGGGGCCCTGCCCCTCTGCCCCTGCAGACTCGCCTGTACTGTCAGCCCAAAGCATCTGGGAGAGATTCTGTTTGGGGTTTCCCTCTCAGAAGCAGCTGTGTGGGGACCCCAAGGCCACCTGGGAAACAGTCAGTATCGTCCTTCAAAACAGTCACCAAAGGAGCTTGCAGGACTCTGTCCGCCATGCCGCTGTCGCTTAAATAGATTGCTGATACCCTTCGCTGGAAACTTCAAATAGAGTTTTGAAGCTACCCAAGAGAGTGGGTCTCATTACTTTATAAGACTCATCTAATTTTCCCCCCGAAAACTACTGTCCCTGATTTGCTATTATTCAACTTGGCTCAAAAAAAAAAAAAAAGTCACTTTCTCCTCAAAGGCCAAAGTTGAGGCCCCCTGAGGAAGATCAAAGCAACGAGCCCCCAGCAGTTCCCAAAGAGGAATCTCCAAGAGGATCTGGGGTAACAGCGGCACCCTTGGCACAAATGTGGGTCTCCAGGGGAGTTCTTTGCCAGGGACGGGGGCAGTGTGGGGAAAGGACCTAGTCTGGTGAGTCATGGTCACGGGGCAGCTGTCCACCAGGGTCTGTCCACATCCGATCCACAGAAATGACCGAGCCCTGAGGCAACGCCACTCACCAGAAGTTTCTCCACTGCCGAAGTGGCTGGGAGGGTCAGCCTCACACCAGTGACCGCCACATAGCACCAACAGACCATATTTTCCCAAAACGAGGGCCAGCAAAATCAAGCAGGGAACACATCTGAGCCCCCAGCATCCCACCAATCAATTTCGAACCCAAAAGTTGCAGTGTAGAGAAGGTATGTAACACACCTTTGCTGAATGGCACAGGGTCTGTGAAAGGTGAAAGGTTTGTCATGTCCTGATTGCAAATTTCAAATTCTATAACCGCATAAAGTTAACCCTTTTCCTAACATGGAGAGTCAGCGGGGAGAACATAAAGAGAGGCTTATCCTTTAGATGGGATCTGGGAGAGGACTGAAAGGACTACAGGGTCTCTGTGGTCTCCTGGTCACAGATTTTGCTGTCACACAAGTCCCAGCTCTGGCATTTTCCTCTCCATGTGCTTACAGGTGGCCAACTTGCCACAGGGAAGTGGACTGATCATCTGCAAACAGAGGCCACGAAGCCTCCCCATCTTCCCAGGGCGTGGTTGTGGTGACGGTCTCTGCAGTATGCCTAGGACAGCTCCTGGCATGCCGAGCATGCGCCAAGCAAAATAAAGAGGTGGCACTCCATTGGGGAGCTTCCACCTGGGGAAGGGGAGAGGGAGGTCAAGCAATCAAGGAGCCGAGGCCCCTCACTTCTGACTTACCCAGAACAGCTCTGCTCTCAACTGTGTTATATCTTGGCCTCCCACCTCATACTGTATTTCAGAAAATATTTTAGCTCTTAAAACGAGTTTGGAAATCCCCGCACCAGGTAAAGCCTAGTGTGCCTTCTAGCAAATACACTTGACATGTGTCTCGGATCCAGGTGGGACTCCGCCGAACGGAGTGAACGGAGATAAGGAGGGTCTCCTGTCTCTATCCCAGCCCTCCGTGCCCCGCTCTGACCCTCCCGACCCCCCTCCGCCCCCCACCCGCTCAGGCCCCTCACCTGAGGGCAGTAATACGCACCTGGTGAAGCGGACCTCACAGATATTGCACATGTATGGCTTCTCCCCGGTGTGGGTCCTCATGTGCCGAGGCAGCTTCCCGGCCCCCATGATGACTTTGTGGCAGATGGGGCACTGCTGGGAGGCCTTGGGTTTCAGCTTGCGCTCCTCCACCAGCGGCCAGGGCGGGAAGAGGCCCCCCAGGTGGGTGGCACTCAGGAAGTTGAGATAGGCACCGTAGTCACTCTCCGCCTTGATGGGGCCCAACGGCCCCCCAGGAAGGTCGGGGAACATGTCCTTGAAGAAGTCGCTAGGGAAGGGGGGTGGTGGGGGTGGGGGCAGCTCCTCCTTCTCCTCCTCCTTAATCTTCCGGTTCTTGATGACCAGGTCTAGTGGCCCACTGTCCATGGGCTGCTCGGGCAGCTGGGCGAAGGCACCGAAGTCCCCTGGCCAGAGGTGCGGGAAGAAGTCAGGGGCGAACGGAGATAAGGAGGGTCTCCTGTCAGTGATGTTGGCCTTGGGGTACAGATTCTCCCTCAGCAGAGATTCGATGGAGAAGTCCCGGATCACGCCCAGATGCCCGGGGCCGCCAGCCTGGAAGGAGTCAGGGAAGTCCCTGGGTGTGTCCGAGTAGGCCTTCTCTGTGAGGTGGTCCGTCTTGGAAGGGCTTTGGTGGCAGTCGATGTCCTGGGGGTCAGGCAAGTTTTCTTGATCGGCAAAGTCCTCCGTGTCGTCCTCCTCGTCCTCCTCCTCGTCCTCCTCCTCGTCCTCCTCATCCTCCTCGTCCTCGTCCTCCTCGTCATCGTCGTCGTCCTCCTTGTCGTCCTCCTCCCCGCCGTCCCCACTGGGCTCCATGATCTCCAGACACACGTTCACGATGCACTGGATCTCCAGCATCCTGGCGGCGTTGAGGATGTGCTTGACGTTGGAGGCGGTGATGGTGAGCGTGGAGGTGTAGGCGAAGTCCAGGATGGCTGCCAGGGCCTCGGGCTGGACGAAGTCGATCTCATAGACGTACGGCTGGCTGGCTAGCGCGCCGGCCGTGAACAGCTTTTTGAAGTACTTGCTGCAGGCCGCCAGGACGGAGCGGTGGGTACGGTACTCCTGCTCCTGAACCACCAGGAGCACGTCGCAGAGCAGGCCGTCATGCCTCTGCTCGTTCAGGCTGCACAGGACCTCACTGCTGTGGTTGGGGAAGGGAATGCCGATGAGCTCGTCGATGCCATTGGCCATGGTCTCAGCCAGAGCCCTGCAGGGACACACGGAGAGGAGACCGGGGTTAGAGGCGTCGTCCGGGAGGGGAGTCCAGGCGCTGGGGTCCCCCCTGGGAAGCCAGGCTGGTGGGTGGGCTGGCCACAGCACCTCTGCCTTTGCTTAGGGTCTCCCCCTCCACCAGGAGGGTGGCCCTCCTCCCTCTCGGCTTTGCCAAACCCCACCTGCAGTTCAGAGCCCAGCTGGCCAGCCAGGCTTTTCACTGTCCAATGCGCGGGCTCTCTCCTGGGACCCCGAAAGCTCTCGCAGTTAGGCTTCTCACTGGGCAGCTGGTATATGCCATGCCGCCAAGGCTGTGGAAGCTTCTCGAAAGCACGTTTTCACTGAATTCCACTTGATTAACGTGAAGCTGCGAAACACGAGAATGGACAGCCACGTGAACCTCAACCTCTCTGTGTGCTATGGGGATGGCGTCCACCACTTACCCACACGACATCCGTGGGTCAAGGGCTACGGGGGGACAGTTCTCTCACCTCTCAGGGCTCCTGCTGGGAAAATGCTCTGGTTTTTTTCCCTCAAAACCTCTGACTCAGGTAATGGATGAACATCTTGATCCTATTGGCTCCTGTTAGAAGCGGAGCTGGGGTGCGTCCCCTCACCATTTATGTTGAAGTCTTAACCCTCAGTATCTCAGAATGTGACTGTATTTGGAGGTAAGTCCTTTAAGGAGGTGATTAAAGTTACAACGAGGTCATATGAGTGAGCCCTCACCTGGTCTGACTGGTATCCTTGTAGCAGGAGAGGAGACCACAGACACACATGGAGGGACCACCCCATGAAGACACAGCGAGAAAACAAGTCGAGAGAGAGGCCTCAGAAGAAACCAAACCCACAGACACCTTGACCTTGGACCTCCAGCCTCCAGAACCAGGAGAAAATCGATCTCTGTTGTTGGAGCCCCCCTGGGTTTTCCTGCTTTGTTATGGCAGCCTGAGCATGGACACAGCCACTAGGAATCTGAAAACCGATTTTGTGGCCCATTTTCAGGATGGGAATGGGGGCATTATGGCCTCTGTTTTGCCTTCTGGACCTTCCTTCTGGCTTCATCTTAGTTGATGAAGTTTCTCTTCTTTTGCCCATCTTGGTCTTTTTTTTCTTTTAAATACTGACCTCTTATATATGTATATCTGTGAGCTGTTTCAGGTATAAATACACATTTAAATTCCGCATTAAATTCTAGTACATTATTAATGTATCATGTCTGTATTCTGTCACTCTCAGGGAAACGCATCCCCTGCAGGGAGAAGCCTCTTCTGAGACCCCTTAGCATTCCATATACAAAAAAGGAAGTGTGGGGTGCCTGGGTGGCTCAGTTGGTTAAGCGACTGCCTTCGGCTCAGGTCATGATCCTGGAGTCCCGGGATCGAGTCCCGCATCGGGCTCCCTGCTCGGCAGGGAGTCTGCTTCTCCCTCTGACCCTCCCCCCTCTCATGTGCTCTCTCTCTCAAATAAATAAATAAAATCTTAAAAAAAAAAAAAAAAAAAGGAAGTGTGGCCAGTGAGAGCCACCAGGAGGGAAAAGTGCAGGACAGAGGACACTGGGTATTACCTCCCTGCAGGGAGCAAGACTCATAGCCCAAGTCATCAGGCTCAACCTGGACAAAAAACCACCTCAATTTTTATACCATCGCCTGGAGGACCCTTCTACTTAGGGCAAAGCTTGATTTTGGCCCATGTGTAAATCCTAGCAAAAGCCAGGCCCATACCCCGGTGCGATTACAGTGGAGAGAAAATAAAAACAAAAACAAAACCTGAAAACCCCGTGCCCCCATGAGAAGAGCTTTGGGGATCTCCACACATTTATCTTCTGGGTGTTTCTACCCTGGGAAGGCAGATGCAGTTGGGAGGGGAGGAGTGAGGAATGCCGAGCACACAGTATGTGCGCTGAATGGGGTCTGGAGGCACCAGGAGCCTGGCGGGAGTGCTGGGTGCTGGTGCTCCTTCCCCCTCCCATCCTCTCCCATCACCGAGGGCCCAAGGCTTCCCTGAGCAATCCCACTGCAGGGAGGGGCTCAGGAGGTTTCCCAGAGTGAAGGCCTTGCTGTCTTCCCGCCTTCTCATCTTTAAAAGGGCCAGAGACACCACAGGCCATGCATTCATTCCCTAAATCATCACTGGGTTTCTCCCTGTGCCAGGCCCTGCCCTGACTTCTGGGGATGCACAGAGAGTAGACCAAGAAAGCCCCTACTCTAACCCAGCTTTACAGAGACATTAACTGTGATAAAGATACAGCAAGATTCACCAGAGAGGAATGAGAGCTCCCTACACACCTCTCAGAATGGCTAAAATAAAAATAGTGATAACACTAAATGCTGGCGAGGATGTGGGGAAACTGGACCACTCAGCCATTGCTGGTGGGCATGTAAAATGGTACAGCCTCCCTGGAAAACAATTTGGTGGTTTCTTAAAAAACTAAGTATGTAACTACCATATGACCCAGCAAGGACTCGTGAGCATTTATCCCAGAGAAATAAAAACTCAGGTCCACACAACCTCAATGCAAATGTTCCCAGCCTCTTTGTGCATAGTAGTCAGTAACTGGAAAGAACGCAGATGTCCTTCAATGGGTGAATGGTTCACCAAGCTGCAGCGCATCCATACCAGGGAGGACTAGTCAGCAATCAAAAGGAATGAGCTACTGATGCATAAAAATCCCTGGATAAGCCAGAGTGAAAAAAGCCAATACCGATAGGTTACATCCTATATGATTCCATTTACATAACGTTCTTGAGGCGGCATAATTAGAGATGGAGAGCATGGGAGGGGTTGCTAGTGGCTAAGGAAGGGCTGGGGCAGGAAGGAGGTGGGCGTGGTTATAAAAGGCAACATGAGGGACCCTTCTGATGATGGGAATGTCCTGTATGTAGACTGGTCAATATCATAGCTGATGTCATACTGTGATCTTGAAAGATGTTACCATTGGAGAAAGCTAGGTAAAATAGACATGGGATATCTGGATTATTTCTTAAAACTACATGTGAATCAACAAATTACATCAAAAATAAAAAGCTTAAGTTAAAAAATCAAATGATAGGAAACAACCTAAACCAATCAATAAATCTTCTTCCACCCCAATGTTATTTATCATCTATCTATAGTAGTGGGTGAGGTGGTGGCGAGAGGGAGACTACTTTACTCAGAGTGGTCAGGGAAGGCCTCCTTGAGGAAGTGTCCTTTGCCTGGATGGTGAGAAGGATCCAGTCATGGAATGATGTAGGGAACAGTGTTCCAGGCTGTGGGAACAGCAAGTGCAAAGTGGGCAGACCCACCAAGGCACTCTAGGTCTGGGATTCTGCTCTGAATGGCCTCATTTAACTTGGTTCTTGTCTACTGAAAGAACTTCTACATCTCTCTGGGAGGCTCGGGTCCCCCTGAGGTCCTGTGTAGGACTCCCCCTCTTTCTCTCTGACCAGGGAGGGCATCCCCAGGCTGCAGGCCTCAACTGTCTATGCCACAGAGAGAATTCTGAGGCTCCTTCCTTCCCTGACATGCCAGGCCTCCCTGCTGTCATGTGGGGGCCAGAGGGAAAGCGGAGGGCTTAAGGATGCCTGGCAAGCTGAGAGGCTCCAGGCTGGGTGGCTCCTTCACGGCTGCCATGCCTGCTGTGGGTCCCAGGCGGGCTGCTCTGTTGCAGCCAGGTGCAACATGACCTTCTGTGCAGTGAGGGGGGCCCCGAGGACCCTGGTCCCCACCATCTTGGCCCCCAGTTTCCTGCTTTAGACACTCAGGCCTCCTGGGGAGGATAGGGCCAGGCCAATCTCGGCCAGCACCTTCTCTCCGCAGGCCAAGTGCCTGCCCTACACAATGGGGTTCCCAAATGAGGGATCAGGACCATCATCTGCCCTCAGGCCTGCTCATCTTCACAACAACTGGGATTTAGCTCCTATAATCATCACCGTCCCTATCTTACAAAGGAGGAGAAGGAGAATCACAGAGACATTAAGTTAAGGCATAAAGATCTGAGTCCGAAGGCTGGTTCCCCAGGCCAAGCTCTTAACAACAAATGATCTACCTCTTACCTCTCCACAAAGGCCACCAAGAAGGGCCAGTAGTCCCTGCTATTGCCCGAGGGACAATTCAGAGATGCTGAGGGGTGCCTCTGTGCAGGAGGGGTGGGAAGGATTTGGGTCGGCAGGGGAGGTTGGCCCTACTTTCTCAGGAGGGCCAAGCAGGCAGGGGCAGCAGGTGGATGAAGGCTTGGCCGGCCTCAGCAGCTGCAGCATCAGGAAGACTTCCGAAGCAAGCTCCAGGATGCTGCTTTCCTCAGAATGGGCAGAGTGGCTCTGAGACCCCAGAGGGGGCCCTGGAACTCACCCACTTGTTCCCGGGCAGCCTCCTCTGCTCCGTGCAAGCAGCCCCCTTGGGGGTGGTTCTGGCAAAGCTCTGCCAGGCGAGGGGGAAGAGGGGAGAGGAGGAAATGGAGCTGAGACTCCATCAGGCTTTTCCATCGTAACTTCTGAGCTGACTGCCCACAGCACTGATCTCAAATGTGCTCCACATCCTAGCTCTGTATCCTCTTCCCTCTAACCCCCTGACATGAATCCTGCTTCTCAGCCTCCGTGCCTTTGCTCATGCTGAGCTCCTGGCTGGAGAGCACCCAGCACCCCACACGTCCAGCATCCTCCTTCTCCAGGAGGCCCCATCCCACCCACACTTCAAGACTCCACTCAGATGACCCTTTGTCTGTCTCTCAATTCAGATGCCAGGCCTCTCCAGCCTTTAGATCTCCTGAACTCCGGATGACTCCTGCCATTTATCTCACTCTACCTTGTACTGTAACTTATTTTCTGTGTCTCGGTGTTTCTGCTAGATTGTAAGCCGCTTGAGGACAGACTGTCATTACGATGCTTAGCACAGTCCTGGCACGCAGTTGGTGAAGGTCTATGGCAGGGGCCCAGCAGCTGGGCCGAAATTACTGTTGTGCAGGTTGTTCACTATATAATGGCACTGCCTCTAAGGGCAGACACAAAGATGTCC